CTCTTTGTCCTTTATTCTCAATGTCAACCTATTCATTTCTGCACAGTCTAATATCTTCTTTATTACCTCCCTTTCCGATGGGATTTTGTCTGTTTTCCAATTTTGTGCAAATACAATTCTAGTTGCTGTTATTATTTGTACAATCAAATATGAATAATCTTTACTATATTTCTCTGGTAGAATACTCAATAAGAATATCTCGCTTAAATTCTTTGGGCTGATGTATCATTTTTTTCTAACCATGTTTATATTTGAACCCAATAGCTTTTTGTGTCCCTATATGTCCACCACTTATGATAATATGTCCCTGGTAATTGGTGACATTTTCCAACATTTAGCTGATTTATCCTTAAACATTTTTGCTAATCTTTCCGGTGTCATGTGCCATTTATAAACCATCTTATATAAATTCTCTTTGTATGCTGTCGCCATTGTCAGTTTATAGTTCCTTTCCCATAGTTGTTGCCATTTTTCTAGTTCTATTGTACTGCAGCTGAGAGTGAGCATGAGCCACAGCCATCGCTTCCCTGAAACCAGTCTGAACCAGCTGAATCCCACTCGTGGTTGGAAGACAAGATTTGTTTAGGAAATTCTTAGCTGTTTTGGCATGCAGAGAGCAAGGTGGTGTATACAGTGATCAGCAGAAAGGCATCTAAAAAGGACACATGTTCTAAGCCAGGAGTGTCAAGCTCAAGGTCCTAGGACCAGAATCGGCCCATGGGGTGCTTAGATCTGGCCCACAGGACCACTCTGGAAAGAGCGAAGGACTGGCCCATGGTGCCTCTGCCAGCAAAAATGGAGCTCGCAAGGGCTATGGCCAGTCCTCCTGAGCTCTGTTTTCTCTGGCAGAGGGTTGCAGGAGGCTATCACAGCTGGAAATTGAGCTTGCAAGGGCCATGGGTGGTCCTCCCAAACTCCATTTTCACTGGCAGAGGGTTGCAGGAGTCTGTTGCAGGTGAAAACAGAGCTCAGGAGACTGTTTTTGCTTCCAGAGTGCTCAGGTCACCAAAGGCGCCCCCAACATGAGTGATGTTGAACTGGGCATGTCCATCGTGGGCACACACACCCCGCCCCAGGTCAAACACAACCCTGATGTGGCTCTCAATGAAATCGAGTTTGACACCCCTGTTCTACACTCTTATTGAATTCCCTACAAAGAGAAAAAAGCAAGATGGGGTTTATCCATTTACTTTAATGGCAGTTGTATGGAATAGTTTATGCGCACTCTAGCTAGGCTATAGAAGAAGGCAGATTCAAGATTCTAGAAGGTATTGCTTGGGGAAAATACCAGAACGAAACCAACAAGAGAAACATAAACTGAGGAAGGGAAGGGGCAGCTGTTCATGCGAAAATAAATAAATAAGTAATGATCATTTTTGGGAGCAACTTGTTCAGTTGATGGACTTTGGTTGGATCTGATCAACAAAGCATGTCTTGCATCCTCATTGGCAAATGTTTCTGCCTTTCACACAATGATTTGAGATAGAGGCAAACTGCTAATAAAGGCGTGTGGGGGAGAAAAGGTTATCTCATGCTTTGGTACAGACTTAGTTCAAGAATAATCCAGCATGAAAAAAGCTTTTTCATTTGATTCGGGCAATCTCTGATTTGCTTTAAATAGTATTTGTGATATCAAGCATTTTCATTTAACCATTTAAAAAAGTATTCATATAAATTATAAATGTATAACATAAGGAAGGACTTAACGAAAATAAAAGAGTTAGAAACAAAACCCAGTGCCAATGAGTAGGCATAATCCTAAAACTGCATGTAAATGTGTGTATATAATACTCTTTGATTTTCTAGTATTTCTCCAAGCATCTATTCCAAACATCTTTAATCATAAAATATTCCTTTCTTTATTGTTGTTTTTGTTAGTTGCAAAGTCATATCTGACTCATTGCAACCGCATGGACAATGCTCCTCCAGGCCTTCCTGTCCTCTACCATCCTCT